CCCCCCCAACATTTCTATGTTACGTTTTTAGCAGTCAGACGGTTATTTTATTTCAAACTGTTCCATGAGTGCAGATTTGAACGAGTCCTCAGGGTGGCTCATGATGTAATATACAGATGACAAAAATCTCCCGTCAGACTTCGGCGACAAGATTTAAATGTCACTAAACATTGTTCAGGCTACATGCCACTTCCGCGATTTGAACAAAATGCTTTGTTCCTTTCGAAAAGTGCATTAATATCGATAGAAACGTGACATAATCAAACATACTGACATTTTACTGTTACACTTTATAGTAAAGTAAATAGTCTACCGTCCTGTCTTTCAAAATTGACACATAACATTTTCATTTTTTTGACAGAGCGTTCATACATTTTGATAAAGCTTATGGTCAGTGAATAAAGAGCTATGTAAAAATAAAAATTTGCAATTTCTGTTCTGTTGACACAACCACAACTTTGTTAACGCAGACAATGAAATGTTACATAAATAAACAACCGTTTTCTGTTACAATCCTTCTACAATCACTACAATCATATGTGAGACGTGCTGACAAAATGAGTTACTTCTCACGATCCAAGAATGGAGATATCGGCTGAAAATCGACACTGGGGTCAGATTTATAGATTTTCAATTGATGCCATTTTGTTCAAGTCTACCGTGTCTTTTACTATTCCATGCTCACAAATTGCACAAACTTCAGCTATCAAGTTGATGCATCAATTTCCATAATGCTAAAATCCGAGAAGTAACTCATTTTGTCAGCACACCGCACATATGTTGAGTCGATGTTCATGGACATGGTAGTTTTGTAACTTCATGTATGTGTAGTTGAACAAATTAATTCCACCTCCATCGGTAATGAATACATTAAAACACTCTTTCACTGTTTATTGACATGGTCTGACGTCACTTTAGAAATAAGAAAAGTACTTCAAAAGGAAGGACATCCGATTCAGGTTCAATCTCCGAAAATGCCAACCAAAATTAAACATTTTCAAGAATTTCTTACAAATCGAGAATGCCATATCTGAAATTTGGGGCACGTTCGTCCATGCTTAGCCCAGTAAGGTATCAACTTAGAAAAAGCTGTGCTTCGGTTGCTGTCATTGTAAAGAAAGCATGTCGACCGCTTCGTGTAAAACTCTGTTGTACGCCATTTTGAAAAGTGACGTATGACGGACTTTCACAGCAGCCGGTATACCAGGTGAGGTAGCAGATTTCCATCCCTTTCAACGCGGTCACAGTTCTGTTATTCAAGAGTTGGGACCTCTGATGTAACGTTCGTCTCTGATAGGCTGAGGACTTATTGAAAAGGGACGGAAGAGATTGGAACTTGCATGACAATCAAAGTACAAAGACCACTTTCTCCCAGCACAGCCGAAGACACTTATAATATGACACATTTGTGTTAAAGGGCCGTAACACTTACAAAAACTAAATTAATCAATTGGAGGTTTAAGTCGAGGCAGCCAGCACCCTTGCATAGCACTATGATATCCCAAAAGAGCTATCAGCACACCTGCCCCCCCCTCCCCATGGTTGCAGTAAGGATAATAAGGACACGTCACAGCGGAAGTTACGTCGACGCCACTTCAATGTTGACATTTCTCTTGAGCGGGGCGTGGCGCTGGGAGTGGGCGTGTCGCACATGCGCGTAGTGCTCGTCTGCCAGGTCGGTGGAATGTCCACAGTCCTCGCAGACGTAGAGCTTGACCCTCCTCTCGTTGAAAGCCAGTTCCTCCGCCAGTCCGTGGATCTTCCGGCAGTGTGACTCGAGGGAACAGCGCTGGGTGAAGGCCTTGTCGCAGTGGCTGCATCTGTAGGGTCGTACGCCTGAGGGTGGAAACAGAGAGAATGAGAGTGAGTGAGGGAGAGAGAGAGAGAGAGAGAGAGAGAGAGAGAGAGAGAGAGAGAGAGAGAGAGAGAGAGAGAGAGAGAGAGAG